TTAGGGTTTAGGGTTAGGGGGTTCTATCGGGTTTCAAAAAAATTAAGGCTCCTCTAAGGGTTCTTTTGGGAGGGTTCCAGAGGCAGCCCGAAAAATTAAAGGCTCCTTTGAGGGTTCTTCAAAGGGTTCTATGGGGGTTTAGGGTTTGGGGTCTACTTGGAGGTTCATGGGTCGTTAGCAGGGTTAGTCCCACAATGTGGGTTGTAATTATAGTTACCCTTCTTGTAACCCCACTTACAACTACCCACGAACCTCCACGTAAGTAAGTACTTAAGGGATCCCCTCAGTTTGTAAAGGTGTCTATTGGCAACCACTGTATCAGACCTTTTCCGGGGTCTGTTATGGTTTGCTGCCCAGGGGTTACACGACCCTTTCCAGACCCTAGCTCTACACAGACCTTGCATCGGATGTTGACGAGTTTAGGAGGGATCATGGAATGCCACATACCTATGTCAAACATTCTCACAGTCCGACGTCGGTGGGGGGCAATACGGACTGCCGGTGCGAGTCCCGGGCGTTTGTTTGCACATGAATAAGCTACCTGCAACACTTCTGACGAAGCCAACACGATAGTGTATGAGTGATTAAGCGACAAGAATTGGTGTGCTCAGAAACCCCAGGAAGGCTTTCGACCCGAAGGTGAAACCTACAAACTTGACCCTCGCCCCTAAAGCGTGAACCCTAAACTCGATGTGTTATGCTGCTGCTCCAAGTCGGAGGATACTGACTGACAAACCTAATGAACAAGGCAGTCTCTACCTTTTAACAAAAGGTGCCTTCTCAGCCTCCTGCGACAAGATAGCGCAACATGCACAACATGTGACAACATGATGCCACACGACGAAGGTCTAGATTGGTCTTCCAACCAGGGTCTGAATTGGTACCGTCGACGATTCCAGACCTTCCCATCTTCGGCTGCCGGAAGCCCCCCAATCCAGACCCTCGCAAACTGAAAGGATCTTAAGGGTATATACGGGTCTTGGTAGCCAGACTATGGCTTTTGGAAGCCTGAAGCCCAACACACCCCGGTACAAACCCCTTGAAACCCTGCACAAACACGATCAGAACCACACAGCCCCTGAACCTTAGCCAGTGCCTCCTCGTAGACGGTGTTCGTCGACTGCGCAGCAGCCTCAGTCTCTCGCAATTTGACATGCTGCTCGGATTGCGGGCTTCCTGCTTTAGGATATAAACCCTCCCCAATGCCTGAAACACTACATCCTACAAGTAGCATCCCAAACCGAGACACTGGGGGCCGTGCCGGAGGAGAAGACGGCGATGGCGTCGGGGTGCGAAAGATGCCCTGAGCTTGCTTTCAGATCCCTGTCAGTGCTTTCCTTCAAGGCAGAAGAGAAACCATGGTACTAATGCAGGGTCTTGGGGCCCATTATACTATAATTATAACAAGGAGCCCCCAAAGCAGTATAGGTAATTCTTTCGGCCCCTATATTTCCCACAATGGCAGTGATCCTTTGCCAGAAGGCATACCTAGCGAGACGATGGCGATGTGCGCACGCTGGGTTGCAATCGACCCTCTCAATCGCCTCCCAGCACCCTCCCAAAAAATATCACATAGCGGCCTCGATGCATACTTTTTCAGATAGTAGAAAGTAATGTTAGTAGTGTTCGTGTATTAATTCTTCAGAACCCCGCAGTAAACCTCATACGTCCCCAACCTGCTTGCTGCTCGGAGCCGGCACGAAGCTCCTGCGATCAGACGCATTGGGCACAGCGACATAGGAGTCTGAAAACTCAGCAATCAAGGTAAGAGTTGTATAAGGTTTCTTTAAGGTATAATATGTCCTTGTGGGCCCAGCTTATAGTAAGTATATGTACGTAGAAACTACCCCAAAAAACTGTTTAGTAAGGCCTATAATCCGGTGGATGGACAACATCGTGCATGACCCGGTAGATCGCAAGCATACAGCCGTCTGTGATAGAACTCCCCAGCCCCCTAATCTCAATGTTGATAACACACTCGGGCCTTCGGATTTTCGCACACATGCCCTTGTTGACATGTTGGAGGTAGTCAACATGGAGACTCCGTGTTTTGGAAGGGATGGCTGGCGCGAGCAAACTGACGCAGGAGTTCGTCCATCAGCAGTCGTTCCGCTTGCAGCGCTGTCGTTGTTACGACGATTATGATCTTCAGAAGTAGTTTCTGCTTATGAAATTCTACAGTGACCGACCCTCCCATCACAATTCGTATGACCATGATCCTCGCCTTCTTGGGGCTCGAAGCTCGAGTTTTCCGCGGTTTCAGGCAGATTTGGAGCTTTAAGTTTCAACGATTCGAACAAGGTTTGGGGTGGGTGCGCGTGCGTGTGCTATGCTCTTGATTCTGTAGATGAGCCTGGGTTGTCGAGGAGTAACGCTCTTGCTTTTTAAACCTGCATGTGTTGAGCATTCTGTGCTTAAGGGGCCTCAGATTTGCAATGGCTCATGAACCTGCTTCGTGTCATCTTGATTATGACTGCAGTTCTCATCCCCACCATGAAGTTCATTATCGGCACACCCGTGGCATTACTTGGAATCTGCATGCCTCGCCATCAGCAATAGCAAACCTCGATGACACCGAAGTAGGCCGAAGCGAAAAGTCCAAGCCCCACACATGCAGCTGTACGTCCACACCGTTGCCTAAAAAATGCAACAGGCAGTCAACTGATCCTCAACCCTCAAGCTTCGACCTGAACCCTTCTGCGAAGTACCCTCAAATTCCTAACGCACCAGGGAGCAACACACCCGCTAACTCCACAGCTCTACAGCTCACAAAAAAAGCCCCGAGGCTCCCTGGAGGTGGAGAAGGCGATTTGTCCTGCACCACAGCATGGTTTGAGGACTCGGCTGCGTAATAAAAGGGGCCTTCATAATTACCTATAGTATTTTTCTTAGGGGGGGTTCCTTATTATTAATATTAGTATAGTATAATGGGACCCAAATCCCTATTCTAATTATTGAGGCCCCTATATTAATAAAGGGTCCCTGATTGTATGAACAGGGTATCACAAGAATCTAGCAGGTGTTTATCAAGTTAATTTGGGGGCCTCAGCACGTAGAATACGGTTTTGGTGTATACTAGCATTGCTAATTCTTCGCACCCATACATTGGTACTGTTTGGAGTTTTAACAGGTTTAGGCACATAGCCGGTGGCATCTATTGCAGGGTTTTGGCCTTTGAGGGGTTCAGCGCACCTGGAACCCTGGAATCCCAACAGAGAACCCGTGCTGTGCAAACCCGCAGGCAGTGGAGCCCTGAACAACACCAGAGCGGACCTTCCGTCGCCGAGCTCGCGGTGGCGTCGGCGGCCGACCAGGCGGCGGGTTCCTGGCAGCGCACTAAGGAAGTGTTCGGGTCTCTCGGGCTTGCCTTTGTCAAGGCTTTTCTATAGAACTCAAGTCAAAGAAGGAAACCTACAAGGGTGGGCTGGGGGAGGTGTAAAGCATGGCAATCCGGCCCTCTGCTCTATAGGTTTTCTCTCCTTTCCCCCAACCCTCGGGCCCGAAGCAGGGCCTATAGGGGCTGCTTTTCCGAGGGCTTCGGCCTCTCTTACCCAGGCTTTCTTAGCCTTTTTTTGGAGACGCTCGTTTGGGTTTAGGGTTTAGGGTTTAGGGACCGTACCATGTTTCGCAAGGTTTCGGGTGCTTTTCTTCGGAACCGTCCTAGCTCAGCACAATCAATAACGACGACGAAACCATCGGCGTCGTCGTCGGTCTTCATGGTCACAACGGCCCCCAGAATCGCAATCAAATGAGAACGGACAGGTTAATATGCGGGGGCCGGGACAATTATCAATAAGAACATCTCTTATGGCCCCTATGTCAGTACAGTATAGTCTACCCCACCCTCCCCCCAAAACAAAAAAAAACACTGTCTTAATTTTCAAGGCCCCAATATTACAACATACCGAAAGGCGCTAGTCTAAGGCTTCAGGCCCTCTGTGATGAGGTGACAGGCAAGCACGGGGAACCGTGGCCGCCTTTAGGGTTGAGGGCTTGAGGCTCGGGTTGTATGTAAGGTTCAGGGTTTACGGTTTAGGGCTTAGGGTTTAGGGTTCAGGGTTTAGGGTTCAGGGTTTAGGGCTTAGGGTTCAAAGGCATTCAGGGTTCAGGGTTTAGGGCTTAGGGTTTAGGGCACCAGACCCCAGGCCCACCTCGGAAGAGCCCAACCTATCGGCCGAAGAAAAGACTCAAAACAGCCAGGAACCCTAAGCTTCGGGGCTAATCTTGGGGCTTAAGGCTTTTATGTTGGGGCTTAAGGTTTAGTATTGAGGCTTGAAGTTTTATGTTGGAGGTAAGGGCTTTAAGTTTTAAGCCTTGGTCGGCAGATTCCGAACGTCCTCATACCTATATGGAACCTCTCCTGCATCTCGCTACCCGATCCGAACACCGGCAGGGCCAAACAGACATCTAAGTTAAATTCTACACCCAAAAATTGGAGCTGAGAAAATAAGGGCCCCCTTGGAGCCCTGGCTCGTAGGATCCTTGCTACAAGAACCTTAAGTCAGGTAACCTTTCAAACATATAAACCGGAAAGACCCCCATAAAACCAGATAACAACCGACAGAAAGACCACTAGGCCCAAGAACCCGGCAAAAAAAAGGCAAAGCCTCCGGATGGGACTCCGCCGCTCCGTCCGCTTTGGGGAGCTCCGCTTTGGTGAGCTCCGAGGCGGAGTGCTCCGCCTCTAAGACCCAAAGAGCCCAAAATACCCCTTCGTTAAACAATATGCCTTTAGAAATAAGGCCTTAGCATTGTGGCTTAAGGTCTATTCCTCAATTAAGTTGCATTGGGCTCTCTGGGGACAGCTCTACGGAGGGCTTAGGGTTTTTAGTATTGGGGTTTTGGGGTTTGGTAGTTAGTCAGGGTTTACGTAGGGTTGAGGCTGTAGCGTCGTGTACTATAGCCTAGTCTAGTCTAGTATAGTACAATATAGTATAGTAAAGTAAAGTAAAGTAAAGTAAAGTAAAGTAAAGTAAAGTAAAGTAAAGCAAAGCAAAGCAAAGTAAAGTAAAGTAAAG